AATATGTAAGACTTGTTTGAGTTGTTATATGATTGTTGTTGCTGTTATTGTATTTGTTAGATTAATGAAAAGGGTATAAAGACTGCAAAATTCTCATTTTTAAGTCGTTATACTACTAATTTTTTTTCAATAGCTAATATTAAACATTAGCTAGTTACTAGTTTTAAACAAGATTAAAAGGAAATGTGCAAATATATGGTTAGTAACTCATTGAATGATTGATGCTTTGTATCTAACTCACCCAATTTGTAAGAGTAGTCAAAGTCATTAATCACATTTCTTTCTTGATCTTTTTAAGAATTATGGATAAAGAATGAATGTTTGCTAATCATTTATCCAAAGAACATTAGAATGGGGTGGCGGACTTCATTAAGTTTGCAATTAAACATGCAGAGGACCTTGTTAGGATTGTTTGCCCATGATTAAAGTGTGGCCTTGTGAAGCAGGTTAGTCCAGATACTTGTGAAGAACACTTAGTGATTAATGGGATGGATTAAATTTACAAGTATTGGATAATGCATAGTGAGATAATGGATGATATTGGTTGTAGCCAGGAACATAGTGAAAGCTGTGTATTACCTCCAAATATTTTGACATATGTACATTTGAGGAAGATTGTCTTGAATAGATGGCCAAAGTGATTAAAGAGGACCTTGAGGATGTCCAGAAATGTTTGAGAAGTTGGAAAGTGATGTGAAGACACTGGTGTATGTTAGCTGTAGTGAATCAAAGTTGTTAACATTGTTAAAATTATACAACATAATGGCAAAACATGGATGGTGTGATGCAAGCTTCACTGAGTTGCTTAGATATTTAAAAGTAAAATTACTTCCCAAAAAGAATGAGCTTCCTTTCCAAACATATGATGCAAAACAAGTATTGCGATCAATTGGGATGAGTTATGAAAAGACACATGCATGTCCTAATAATTTCCTTTTATTTTGGAATGAATATGCATCATTAATTGAGTGTTCGAAGTGTAATGCCTTACGCTACAAGCAGAACAGATTGAGTCCAGTGAAAACACTATGGTATTTTCTAATTGTGCCTAGATTTATATGCATGTATAGCAGTGCAGAAGTATCAAAATACTTGGTGCAAAAAACCCCTTTTACAAGGTGCCTAGTGCTCTTTGAAAAAATAGTTCAGGGATAAAATTGCCTCACTTAGCAATATAGGGTATCTAGTGCTCCTTAAGAAAAAGTTTAAGGGTAAAAATGTATCTTGATCCTTAAAATTTTTTATTCAATTCCTAAGAAAACTAGGGAAAGGCTACCACGATAGAAAGGAAATTTTTTGAATATCATTGGGAGGGCTACTCTTATTCTTAAAAAGATTTCTAAATGAAGTGTGTAGTAAGTTTCCTGTGGGAAGATTACAAATTAAAAAAAAATTGCATCTTATTCTTGAAAGAAGTTGTTATCTAGGAAAGTGTACTCTAGAGATTTAGGCATGAAGGATCTTAGAAAGCATAATGAAACTTATATATTATGAAGCTGTGTTGGTAGATTATTACACAATATCAAAAGTTATGGGACCAAGCCCTCAGAGAAAAATACAAGTGTGGGAATGGAGTGATTCCAATTGTGACAAAAAAAAAAAAAAGAATTCCTCTTTAACTTGGAGAAGTATTTATCCTGCTTGGGAGAAATTCAAAGATGATCTGGGCATCAAAAAGATCCTGACGAGAAGCACTTTGTTATGGGTTGATGTGTGGTCTAATTTGAACAAAAAGCATCCTTGTTGTGGTTCCCAATTTGCTAGGGCTTATTTATCTTGATGATAAGGTGACCGATTACATTCTTTCATCAAGAGATTGGGATATGTCTAAATTGAATACTTTATTTCCTGCAAATGTGGTTAATGCTCTGACTCATATAAGCTTAGATTTAGCACGAGTAAGAAAGTTTTTTTTTATATAGAAACACTTAAAGGATGGTCAATTTTCTATCATGTTTGCATATGATATTTTAATTGCAGGCGCACCAAGACAATCAACCTTCAATTAAAGATCTATATGGTGATTAGAGGTCCTTGAAAAGATGAAATTCTTCCTATGGTTGATGGCACATGAAGTTGTCCATACATATTTTCATCAAAGGAGGGGATTCATGTAGTCAAGTATATGCCCTCAATGATGTGCTAATGTAGAGGATGAGATTCACCTACTTAAAGATTGCAAGGAGGCCGAGAGCAAGTGGAGATAGCTTGTATATATCTCAAAGATATTGGATTGAATTCAATAAGGAAAACCTGTTACAATGGCTAAACTAGAATTTGAGCAACAATCTAGGCAATCAACAAACGCACCAAGTAAGCTGGAAGATCCTTTTTACATACACATGTTGGGATATTTGGACGTCAAGATGCAGTGCCATTTTCAATAATGAAGAGTGCAACCAATGAACTAATGTTGAAAGTACAATTTTATTTAGAGTAATCTAGGATAGAAAAATGCTGAGCTTTGCTACTTACTTAAGGCAGGGTGTGCCAACTAGTGTTTATCAAGACGCCGATGATGATGAAGAACTTGTGAGATTAGAGGTAGCGGGGCATATGGTTGTAAAAGGTAACAAAATCAATGCTATTGTATTGAGAAGATAGATGAATGATGTTAAGATGGGTGTTTTCACCAAGGCGAGAAATTCTCCAAGCAAATTTGCAATCTTGCATCCTATTTGTGAAGGACTTTAAAGATGTTGAAATGAAGGTTATAAAAAAATTGAGATAAATTTTCATTGTGCTGATAGTTATAATCTTCTTAGTAGGAACTCTTTGACACTATTATCGAATAGCACCAAAATTAATAAAAATTAGATTTTATAGTAAAGTACAGTCGTCTTCCTAACAGTTAATATAGTAACTATTTAAATTATGATTATAAAAAGATAAATAATGAGGGGTTTTTATGATGAAATTAAAACTAAATTAGAACTAAATAAATAGAGAAAATTCAATTAAGAAAATTATCAAATACAAGCAGTACAATCAATCACAACATAATCTCCTAAATTTAATCTTCCTTATCCACAAAATAAATTAATTTTATTTAACTTCATTATTCTGGTTTCATTATATATTTCTCAATTTATCATTCAAGAATTAAACAATAAATTAAGTTATAGATTAACTGAAATCTCTTTCAACCCATAACCTAACAACTATTCTAAATTAGCCACATCAGAAACAAAGCATGGATAATGACCCAAGCCAGACTAAATTACTCTTACGATACTATATCAATTGATTATAGCAAGCAAAACCTCAGATCAAATTTATAACTCAAATCATGCAATAAAATTACTTTAATCAACAATAGTAATTAAAGTATAAGATTCAGAGGTAGAGAGAAGAAGAGTAAATTAAAATAAAGCTAAAATAAAATCTTCCTTAAATATTAAAAACTTTAATTAAAATTTAAGATCGTGATTTGTGATTGATCATAATAAAAATTTGGCTCTTCATAAAACTAAAAATCAAACAGTATAAGATGAGAAAGTAACAAGCCATCGATGAAAAATTGAAGGAAAAAAAAAGATGAAGAGCGATCTGTCACGGCCTTGGAACTCCCTTCCCTTGAACCGTGCCGGCCTTAGCTTGATCCCTCTCTTGATCTTTGCTAAGTCAGTCGAATCCCACAAGTAGACAAAGAGGCTAAGAGAGCTAGATGCACAAGTAGAGAGTAGAGAGTTTGAGTGAATGAACTTTGAGAGCTTTTACACTATGCTTGAGTGAGTTACAAATGAGGGGTGAGGGGGTATTTATAGGCCTCCCCCTTTCTCTAGAAAATTCTCACCTCCTTAATGGGCGATTGGGATTGATTCGATTTAACGGTGTACATTTTATCTCTAGATAATTCTATAGAAATATCTACAAGGAATATCTTGATATTTACAAGGAGACTACTAGAATGTACAAGAGTAAGATATTCCTAAAATGATCTGGATGTTTTAAGTGCTTTCTACACTACTTTAGAGATATCTAGGTCTTTCGAGGTCATACCAACATATTCTAGAAGAGACCCCGAGGTTTTTTGATTGTCCTGATTATCTTAATCTCATGAGAATTCTATCTTTATCACATATCGCTCTTGTGTGCGCCTCTACCATTCACTCCCAATTTTTATTGTCTTTCGTAAAAGTCGTGCCACCGGTGCGTGCTATTTCCTTCCTTCAAAATATATAATATATAACATATAAGGTGATGTGCGCGTCTCCTTCTATAAATAAAACGCGTCTCCTTCTATAAATAAAACTTAATAATTTAATAAAATAATAAAACTTTTTTAAATAATCTTAATTAAAAAATATACTAAAAAATCCAAAAGAAATATCAATAAAAGTTTAAAGATTTTTTTCTTACTTGATCTTCAAGCATGCCTCTATTCTTCTCATCCAAAATATTCTCTATTAATATTTTTCAAATTGAATTTCAAAAATCTGCACAAATAAGATAAAATTAAATGGCAATTATACAAAAATATTAAAGATATCATTTATATTTTAAAACTACAGATTTAGCTAGTTAAAATTTTAAAACTGCATATTGGCTAATAAAATCAAATAATATTTAATTAAATTTAATTAGCCTCAAATAAATATCTAAAAGTCTAAATGAAAAGGATAAAAATATATAAAATTATTATTTATCACTCTTCTCGTGATCCTCCGCTTCATAAGCTTATCTTGGATGTTACAAAGCTTTTTTTCAAAGATTGGAATGCCTCTGTTTAATTATTCTTGTAATGACTTTAGTTTCTTTGTTAATGATGTTATTAGGTTAGGTTTATGTAGTTCTAATTTTTTTAGAATCTCTTCCCATCAATTCACTAAAAATTCAGGTAGATTGTGACAGGTAGTGACCCCAGCTAGGTTTGTATTTTCTATACAATTTTTTTTTTTTGGCTTTGATAGAACTTTCATCCAAAAAATTGCATTGTTCTTCGTGCAACGTAATATCCAGCCTTCATTCATCAACTAAATTAAAGGGTCTAACATATATTTACAACACCTGAAAAAAGACGCTCAAGCGTAGCCCTTTGAAAACACTTTTTTTTTTTTTTTTACATTATATAAATAATCTATTAAATTATAAAAAATAAAAATTATCATCCACGCTGTAAAATCCCAAAAGAAATAAAAAAGGAAAAAGGGGAAATTTTGGGACCATCGAAGACTGGAAGCTGGGTTTATCATCGAGCAGCACTATTATCATCTTCATCGACAAGAGACATAACTGTGTGGATACGAAACGACGTCGTATCACTCCAAAGAAAACCAGGATAAGACTTGGCTACCAACTCGCCGCTCTGTGAGGGCCACGCGCTCATCAGAGACGAGCGTCGATCGACAGAGAGGGCAGTTAAACTTGAGCTGGTGAAGCCAAGCATCGAAGCAGCGTCTATGGAAGGCGTGGTGGCAAGGCAGCCTCCGAACCTGGTCGCCCTCCTTGTACTTGCTCCGGCACACCACACACATGGAGGAGGCCGCAATCTCGTGGTCGTCGTCGGGAACATCATAGTTCGCATGGAGCTGGTCGGAAAGTACAACAAGGCTGGCGAAACCAGATCCGACGGTGGCGAGGAGGGCATCGTCGACGATGGGCGGTCTGTGGGCATGGAATCTGTCGAAGCCGAGAGAGTGGAGGAAGGCGAGAAGGATGGAGCGGAGATAATTGAAGCCGGCGGCGAGGTGGAGGAGAAGGAGGAGGGGAATGGAATCGGAAGAGACGTCGTGGAGGTGGTTCTGCAATCCCATCTTGTTGAGATTGTGAGTATATGGCGAGAGAAGAAGCGATCGTGGAAAGGGGCTATAAAGGTGGGTGGGTGAGAGAGAGAGAGAAGGAAAGTGTAGTGTAAATAAAGAGAAGGATGAATTACGTGGCTGTGATGTATGAAATAAGTAATAATGGAGGTGTGCGTGTGAGGTAAGCTCATTACCAGAATCACTCGATCTACCAATTATGATAATGACTACATTTTATTTAATTAATCTTATTTTAGTTGATAAGGACACAGTTCATATATGGGCTTGAATTTTGCTTTTAACCTCAAAATCTCACTGGTCCTGGTAATTTTGTCAAAAAATTTAGTAATGTATATAATAAATATATAAATGCGTTTTGTAAGATGAGACGAGCAGTGTTACAGTTTTATATTTAATCACAAACGTATGCTTATCACTTATATCAAAATAATTTAAATTTAATCTGTGATCATATTATGTAAGACTATTACACATCTAATAAGCGACCCCATGAATTTTTTTGAAAATAAATTTATATGTAAATGTATACTATCAACTGGTAATTAACTTTTAATTGCAAAAAGTTAGATGAGTTGAATCTTCCAAGTTCATCTAGATAGGGCATGTCTTTTAAGTTTTAAAAATACTTATGGAAATATTCACAAATTATTTACGAATAAAATCGCTGCATCAATGTAGTGACACATCTAGAACATAACTCCTGGGAGGAGTAGATGAAAAGATTCATGGAACTGGGGGGCTAACATTAGATTTTTCATTTTTTTTCCAAGTAAAAAAGGAAAAAAAATTATCAAAAATATTCACATGGGGACAAGCACCCCCAGTTCCATCCCTCCGTTAAGTTCGAATTTTGAACCGATAACCTTTAGAATTATGAATCAAATGCTTACTAACTGAGCCAATTTTTGTTAGTATTAATTGACAATATTTGATAATATTGACTTTGATGTTTTGAAAATTGTGTGTAATTCACCTAAATTTAATATCAAGAAAAAATCATGCTCCCTCCATCTCTATTTTAAGATGTCCTATAAAAAAAAATTCTTTGATTTTTAACATAAGATGCTATTTGTTAAAAATCTCATTGGTCCTGGTAAATTTTAAAATTTTTTAGTAATGTAGCGTTTTGTAAGATGAGACAAGCGGTGTTACGGTTTTATATTAATCACAAACGCGTGCTTATCACTTATATAAAAATAATTTAAATTAAATCACCGATCATATTATGTAAGACTATTACACATCTAATAAGTGACCCCATGAATTTTTTTGAAAATAAATTTATATGTAAATGTATACTATCAATTGATAATTAACTTCTAATTAAAAAAATTAGATGAGTTAAATCTCCAAAGTTCATCAAGATAGAATATGTCTTCAGGTTTAAAAAATACTTATAGAAATACTCACAAATTATTTACAAATAAAATCCTCCCATCAATATAGCGACACATCCCTAACATAACTCCTGGAAGGGCTACATGAAAAGATTCATGGAATTGGGGGACTAACATTAGATGTTTTATTTTTTTTCCAAAGAAAAAGGAAAAATCAAAAAGAATATTCACATGTGGGCAAACATCCCCAGACTCATCCATCCATCGATGGTTGAGTTCAAATTTTGAACCTATAACCTTTAAAATTAAGAATCAAATGCTTATTAACTGAGCCAATTTTTGTTAGTATTAATTGACAATATTTGATAATATTGAGTATTGACTTTGATGTTTGAAAAATTGTGTGCAATCCACTAAATTTAATATCAAGAAAAAATCATGCTCCCTCCATCTCTATTATAAGATGCCCTAATTAAAAAAAAATTCTTTAATTCCTAATATAATACTTTCTCTATTAAAAAATATAAAGTTTTTTTTAATTGAATCTCTTCTCTCGATAATGCAGTTAATTGTTTTCAAATTAACACTATCTTTTTATATTTATTCCTATTTGATATAGTGTTTCACTTTAAAATAAATATAAAATGATTTATTTATTAAGTCACTTTTGAAAAAAGCACATCAATTATACTTTAAAATACTAAAAATATTTTATATTTTTTAATATCAAATCCTTCAAAAAATGCCTTACAATTTTTAAATGAAGGAGTACTTGATAAGGTATTAATTACACTTTTTTTAATGTTACCCTTTTGTAAACTCATTAACTATGAGAGAGAATGTAATGTAAATTTAAAAAAATTTAAATGGGGGTACAATTGAAATTTTATTTTATTTTCAGATAAAATTAATAATATAATATATTTGCTTAGTTTTGATGAAATTGTGGAAAGTATTTTATAATAAAGACAAGAGGGAGTATAATCAATATAGTGTGTAAAGAACTCAATACTCTATTAGCAAGTTCTTGAAATCTAAGTTTCATAAAAAAAAGTTAATACATTAGAAAAGCTATCTCTAATTGAAGTCTGTCTTAGCTTTAATAATTACTCATTAATTAGTAATACTCCATTTTATCTCAAGTCTCAACTATAGGTTACCATTACATATCCTATAAATATTAAGGGAAAAAGTTAAAACAATTAAACTTATCAAATTTGTCACGAATTAATATTATTTTCTAAAAATAACTTCCATTTGATAATTAAAATCTATCATTAAAATTAACAATCATTAATTGCATTGAATAAATTTTCTCTTCTTTTAAAATTTGAAATTAATGGAAGAGTAGTTATTGAAGGGCATTATTGAAACAAAGTATTTAATAATTTAAACATTTGGATAAAGATATGTTTGGTTGAAGGGAGTTGGACCTTCCCTCCCCCTCATTTGGTCGGAAAATTTGAAAGGGAGGGGAGCCCTTTATTTTGGCTCCTCCAAATTAGAGTTTTTTTAGAGGGGAGCCAAAATTTATGACTAATTTACCCTTATATCTATGTTAATATTCCATAAATGCCAGTGATAAATGATGATCATGCTTCAATTTGATCCTTGCTGAACTTGTCTCGTAGTGTATCTTTCAATTGTCATCAAACCTGTCTCTCTATTGAACCTCTATTATTTCCATAAAGTGTCATCTTTTTCGAACCCATTTGAAATACTTATTTGTTGGAATATTGTGTCATGGTGGAGACCATTGTCAATCAATTACCTAAGGGAATAACTTGTCTCACAATATTGCTCGATGACATAGCTAAGCTTCTTTTATATTGTCTTCCATAGCCTGCGAAAAGAAGATTGCTAAAGGCCAATACTTCATAAAAGTACCGACTTGGGGCTGTGGGTATCAAGAACCATGATATAAATTATTTTACTGTGAACACGAATCTCCTAATATTATTTCATTATATATTTAAAGGAGTTAAAAATTACTGTTGTTATTACATTATCTAAACAAGAAAGAACTGAAAAAAATAAAAGCTAACAAACAAGAATATAATAATAAATTAATTATTACGTTCCCTCTCTTCCTAAATCAAACAAATAATTATTAAAAAACCCTCCACTCCTAAATCAAACAAATAATTACTAAAAGCTCCTTCCCTCTCTCCCCTCCTTCTCCCTCCAACAAAACCAAATAACATAACATAAAACCTATTCCCTTCCCTCCTTTCAAACCAAATACAACCTAAGTGACTTGTAATTTGAAATAACTGATGATATTTTTTAAATACTCTTTGAACCTAAATGCATGCCTTGATCAAGGTGAACTTTTACGATTCAACTATCATGAACTTTTCTAATTACAAAAAAAAAAAAGAAGAAAAAGAAGAAGAAGGAATAATTGGTGGCACTGTTATCAAACACTGAATAGTTCGTGGCAAAAAATTTAAGCATGTTTTGTCTTCTTATATTACATGAACGTTAAGAATAAATTATATTGTTCATATTTTTGGATATTATCACTTATGAAAAAAACTTTACATTTCATATTGATGGTTGATATTTATTTATTTTTTAAATAAAATTTTAAATATAAACAGAATTACAGAAGGCAACACTAGATTGATTCCCCTATTTCCCAAAGGGCAAAGTGCAGGAGGATGACCTAAGGGACCTGAATTCTATGTGCGAGCTTGCTTTGAGCTGTAGTAAATTGTCACAGTCACAAGTTTTATTTTTTATTTTTACTTATAAATTTATAATACACACATTGGATTCAGAAAAGTTATTATTAATTTTTTTTTTTGCCAACGAAAAAAAGTTTGTTTCTGAAAAAGGAAAAAAATATATGCTATCTACTCTTTGCCTCTATGATTCCCCGCTTTATTTCGTTTCTTGGTTTTTGTTTTCTAGCAATGCTTTGCTTTGAACAGCATGTGGGTTGGAAAGTTGACATTCCAATATTTTTAAATATATAATATTATTAAAATATTTAATTAGTTTTTTCTCTTGAATATTTTATCAGCGTAATTATAAATTATATCATTATACTCCGTCCATTTAAAAATATAAAATATTTTTTACCGAATCTCACCTTCAATAAAGTAATTATCTACTTTTAAACTAATCATATCTTTTTATATTTACTTCTATTAAACATCCTATAATAAATATAAAGTCACTATCAATAGGAGTACTTTTGAAAAAAATGTAATGATTACACCTCGAAAGACTAAAAATATTTTATATTTTTAAATATCTAACTTTTTAAAAAATATTTTATATTTTTAAATGGAAGGAGTATATCTTATAATATATATAGTTATTAAAAAAAACTCCAAAATCAACAACTATTTTTCAAGTGATTACAAGAGATTTCAATTTTTCACTTAAGAGGGTTCCCTGATGCTGTGCTTGGCACAAGAGAAAAGTAAAGGGAAGGAAAAAAAAAAGAGAAAAAATGACATTTTCTCTTACTTGGCTAAGAAGAGAAAAATGATGAGAGAGAAAATTGAGGAAAAAAAATAGCATGTGGGACTGATTTATTTTTGTATTCAATTTTTTCTCTAAATATGGAGAGATTTTGGAAGGAAAATTTAATTTTTAAATTTATCCTTGAATCTTTTCATTTCTTGCCTGATGTCTCTATTCATTTTTATCATAATTTCCCCTCCACTTTAAAACTTAGCTTATTATATATTTAATAATTTAAGAAATAAATATTAAATTTGGACAAAAT